TTTGAGTGAGGCAGAAACATTTTGGGCTCCGGCAAGACGCCTGGCTGACAGTTTCACTGGCGATCTCCAGCTGGTAGACGGTGTGGCAATCTTCAGCCCGCCAAGTGGGCTGTGGCGGCTGGCGGCGCAGCTGCGGTTGGGATGCTGCTGGCTGCTGTAGGAAGGACGGCGCAGGCAGAGAGGCACGGCAGACCTGGGCAATGTGCCCTTTTTTATTGCAGCGGCGGCAGACTGTGCAAGTCGTGCGGGCATGGCGACCACCACAGCCCACACACAAGGTTGAAGCAGGGGCAGCAGGAGGAGGCGGTGGTGGGCGCCTAGGCTGCGCTCTGAGCTGGCCAACAACCTCATTGCAGGAGTCTTCCGGTGGCACCAGTTCATTGACTAGGCAGGCTTGCACGGCAGGTGGAGGGCACCCCGGCATCGGAGGAGGAGGTGACGCTGACAGCTGCAGGCGTTGCATGTCGGCCATGGACTGCTCAGAGAGTTCCGCTGCTCTGGCAGCCTCCACATCCTGCTGCATCATGATGTCGTGGTGCCGCAAGAGGCGGCTCCGCAGGTTTATGTCCTTAACGCCGCACACAAACTGTTCGACCAAGTTCTCGTCCAAATTTTGGAAGTCGCACTGGGCCGCTGTTACGCGGAGCGACTCCAGAAATTGGCTGATGCTCTCGGTTGGCTTCTGGACGTGCCGGCGGAAAGCGAAGTGGCGGGCGATGGGGGACGGTGCCGGGGCGTAGTGGCCCTTCAGTCGGGTCATCAGCGTGTCCCAGCTGAGTTGGTATACTGGCCGCAGGGCGGCTAAAGCCCTGGCTGACACGAACACCGCGGGGCCACAGCAACTCAAGAAGAAACTGCATTTCTCTTCTTCTGGTTGATTGTGGTTCTTGGATGCTATTAGATAGCATTCGAACTGCTCCATGAAACCTTCCCAGGTTTCACCAGCAGATCCGAATGGTGCGAAGGGCGGTAAGGCGGATGCTATGTTCGCCAAAAAATTGTGTTTTTTTTTGACAGTTCAATGAGAATAGATAGGGAGCGGAGAAAAAAAAAGTTCAGCGTTCGCGCACTGGCGGTTTGACGCGGCTTGAGCGGCTGGCTGAATCCTTTCTCGCTCTTGTCCTAGGCTCTGCTTTGGGAATCGCTGAATCCCACCTTCGTCGCCAGTTTAGAGGATCGAGGGTCGAAGGGAAGACGCGAGAGCCAGGACTTCCAAAACAGCAAGTTTTATTTAAACAGAGCAGTGACAGTGATTCAAAGAGACGAAATCCGTGCCAAGGTATTTATANTTAGTCTGCATTTATTCATCGCCACTTTATTCTCTTAATCTTCAGCAACGTTGGAAAATGAGTAAGGCCCCACCCTCAAATTGATCCCAGCTTATGAAACTATGGGATGGCCAAGAGGGCACAGTAGAATCTTTGCTTTTAGTAAGGATAAAGAATTTTCCAACATATGTGCGTATTTTACAAGTATGACCAATTCCCCCCCCCAAAAAAAACCCGGCTTACAGATGCACCCTCTACTTCCCAATCCTAAATTTTATGTATGCAGATAATATTCATTAATTTCAATAGAATTTTTTCCCCAACATTTGCTGGAATTTCAGAGATTATTTAGGTTTAGGAATTATCAAATATTTTTTCCCATTATTACATAGAAGGAAATATTCCCTGCTGTAACTAATGTTATGGCTAGTTTGGAGAACCTTCAAATCATACCCCTGGCTGGCCCTGCCCACCCCACCGCCCCCCAGGAGTCTTTACACGACCTGTTTGGATGCGAGGTACTATATTTTTGGGAGTATAAGACTTACCTTTTCCCCTCAAAAGAATGAAAATCTGGGTGCGCCTTATACACTGAAAACAACATTTTTTGCTTCCCGAAACCCCGCCCCCTTCAGCAAAATGGCTGTGCAGAGCCTCTAGGAAGCTTTTAGAGAGCTCCTGGAGGCTGGGGAGGGCAGAAATGAGCAAAAAAGCCTGTTTTTTGCTCAATTCCCCCCCCCCAGCCCCAAGGAGCACTCTATAAGCTTCTTAAAGACTATCCATGCCCCCCCTTTTTTTTTTACAAAAAACGGCCAATGTTCCCCCCAAATTGTCCGTTTTTTGCTCATTTTTGCCCCCACCTCACCCCCCAGGAGCACTCTGCAAGCCCCTAAAGGCTATTCATGCCTTTTGGGGGGGAAAAAAGGGCCTGTGTTCATGAAAAACAGGCCGTTTTTGGGAGGTTTGCAGAGTGCAAAAAAATTTTTTTTTAATTTACCTCTTCAAAATCTTGGTGCATGTTATATTCCGGTGTGCCTTATACTCCGAAAAATACGATAAGTGCAGGGTGCACATGGAGGCTCAGGGAGGGGGGGGAGGCCTCCTGGAAGTTCCTGGAGGCCGGAGAGCCTCCAGAGCCTGGGGGAGGCAGTTTTTGCCCTACCAGAGGCATGAGGAAAAGCTCCGGAGCCTGGGGAAGGCGAAAACGCCCCCCCGCCCCCCCGACCAAGGTAAATAGCAATAGCAATAGCAGTTAAACTTATATACCGCTTCATAGGGCTTTCAGCCCTCTCTAAGCAGTTTACAGAGTCAGCATATTGCCCCCAAC